GTGTAGTAATATTTGAAAATATTTTTAGGCCAAATGCTAACATTGGATTATGGCTTGGAATGTTGGTAGGTTTAAGTGCAATTTTAAATTTACTAAAAGAGGATACCAGTTATTCTGAAATTTGCCTTATTGTGGGCCTTACGGGTGTTGGCCTTGTTATGAGTTCAATATGTTTGTATGTACGATTGACAACAAAGAAAGTTATAGTCAAAGATTTCCAAGTTATATACTTTTTGCCAGCCATTGTAACATCTATGTTGTACCTTCTTGTAGCAAATAAAGGTATGACAATTCACAAATTATTCATTAATATTTTATAATTTACTTAAACAAAATAAAAATTTTATATCTTCCATTTTAATATATTAAATTTAGAACATTATACATTGTTTAAATTAAATTTATATTTAATAAATAAGAACAGGATTACTATGGAGTGTCACATGGGGCTTAAGTGTAGGAAGTTTGGGTACTTGGAGTATTATTCAATTGATGTCTACTTTTCCTAATTGTTTCACACTTGGAGAAGCAACAGCAGTAGTGCATGGCTGTGTTTTATTTATAATGTCTGCAGTAACAAACTTGCCATTACGATATCATTTACCACCTATACACAATGATGATATTGCCACAGTTTTATTACAGGTACTTAAACAGACTATAATTTTATTTCAGACAAATTACTTTTAAATATTGATTAATGTCATACAATTTCAGGTTGCAATAATATATATAGTCTTAGTTTGCTTATTGTGTGGATATTTTCCAATATTTCGTGAAACCAAATACTTTTACGCAATGTTGACTGCTCTCCTACTATTAATTGTTTTACCTATAATGCACAGCATATTAGACCAAAATCCATTAACGTGGACGTTTTCATACATGTTTGGTACAAAACGTAAAGTATGTTTCGTTAATTATTAATTTTGTTTATAATGTTATATAAACAAATAATAATTTCTAATAAAATATTACAGATTATTCTATTTGGATATTGGGCTATTTGTTTATTAGTAGCCATAATTGCAGTTGTGTATCAAATATTATGGAATTCTCAGGCAACAACTTCCATTAGGAAAATTTTTCATATACTAGCTGTACTTGTATACATACCAGGTCT